AGTTGAGACTTCAACCTTTTGAGACTGCGAGCTTGGAAATGGGGTCACAGTGAATTATATGGAAGCAGTCTGTGATCCTTGGTACATGGTAGCCATACACCACGGGGTATCTGGATAGATGCCAGCTGTGGAGATGTGTTTGAGCCAGGGTCGAGGAGAGCTGGGGTGTGCCACGCCCTGTCCTGTCCTGTGCTGGCCCTGCTTGCCTTGCCTTGCCGTTGCGGATGCCAATGCCGAGAACTAGCTGGCGAGTGTGGGTCGGAGAGGCCAATGTGTGTGAGTAGAGGTCCTCGGCCGAAACGATGTGTCGGCAGGATCCATGAATAAGTGATGTGCCGTGAGGATGCTGAGTGATGCTGTGCAGCTTCGGACGGAATTACCCATGGGAAGGATTTAGGCACGCACGTTTAATGAGTGAGGAGGGCTCTGGGTCAAGCCTGGCAATTTCGAGAGACGCCAGAACGATATTCGCCCTTATCACGGCGTGCTCTCAACAGCTCCCGCGGCGTCTCATCGTCTTTCGAGCCGACACACCGCTCGAGATATGGCGGCTGGACGTTTTGCTCCATCACTCGTCCACTTATTACTCATGGCCGGCGCCTCTGCCTGCATGCTCTGACACAGGGCGGGACCAGCATTCGGAAGGTGATCAACACGGCAAGTTGCAGGGTACTCGCGCATTGTACATGGAGTTTTCGCCGTCTGCCTCGAGCCAGATGTGAAAGCCCAAGTGCCGATCTTGGCGGATGTCATGGACACCTATCTAAGTAGCTGGGAGAGGCAGCAAATCGTATTCGGCAGGCTCACAAGGGCCAAACCAACCAACCAGGGGTGCGTGGTATTGGATGGTCTGGAGAAAACGACGAGCTTTGGTTGGACGGGTTAAAGACGTCTGGCGCTGGAAATGGGATGGGAAGGCAGAGGAGATGGAGGATGGATGGCAGTCAATCATGGGGTCTTGGATGGCAGAATCTGGGGTTGTGGCTGCCAAAGGAAGGAGGTAGCAAGCGGCGAGAGCTGATTTGGGGACCGGAATCAACGAGGGCTTCTGCAGGCGCGGACACTCTGGGCATCGCTGGCCCCCCATTCGCCTAGGAGCGATCGGGGAGGTTGTCACGGCCACGCTGACGATGCCTATTTGCGCTGTTCGCATGCCCGAAGGAGGTAGGCGACAGCCTCTGTCTGGCGCCGCGCATTGGCGAGCGAAGGCAAGGCCAGGTCTGACAACGCAGCGCGCACTCTCTGCAATCCGACAGAGCTGCCACCATCCCCCGACAGGGTAGGCCGTCCGGACAATTGCTGTCCATGAATGGCCGGGCTGGTCTGGCAGACGATGGAGCATGAAGCACTACGCTGGATGGAACTAGCCTCACAGCTGCCAATCCCTCGATGCGATGTGCGCGATTCGCTCCCTCCCCCACTTCCCTGGTCCGGTCGGTGGTAGGCAGCGTCGACGGCTAGCGGTGCTCGTGACGGAGATGCGGGTGATGCTGGATGGCTTGCAGCGGTTTCGTCCCCTCCCGTGCTTTGCAATGGTTAGGTGATCATGCTTTTGCGTTGGGGATAAGCGTAAATGGATAGTTCTGGTGGGCATCGACACGACACATGCCTCCATCGCAACCAGGGGCAGAGGCGCTAAGCAGGCAGGCTCCCTGGCGTCGTCGGGGCGTGTGTGTGAGGCCGACAGGGAGCCATCCTCAGGGAGGGAGCTGGTCTGGATGATGGATGGATGCATCGCCCTTAGCCCAGGCCTGGCTGGCTGGCTGGGCCGGTAATTAGGGCAGGCTGCGTCCAGGCTATGTCACTTTACCTGGGCTGCAACTGCACACGCGCCTCAGCAGCCTCCAGTAGCACCCCGAGCAGCCCACATCTCCAGCGCATTAGGTCGTAGACAGGTGCTTTGTGCCGGCGCTAAGAGCCAAGTCAGCGGAGCGCCACCACCGCCGGTGCCCAGGAAGCCAGTCCCGAGGTTCCTGGACCAGTGGAGCTCCCATCAGATGGACGCTGATGGGTCCTCAGTTAGTGTCCAGCTATCCTTACAGCCTGGATGAGTCTGTGCTGGAGCCAGGGGCGCTTTAGGGTAGTGGAGGCCATTAGCTAAGCCCAACGACCTCACTCCATCCGTCGTAGCATGAGGCCCTCGCCCATCCCTACCAAATGGAACGCCCATCTGCCCAGCCCTGGATCCCGTGCCCAGCACCCTGATCTCATCCTGGCCAACGCTCATCGTCAGTCCAGATGGCCACGGACCACGGGCCACGGACCACCCAGACCTCCAGGGGGGAACGACCAAGTCAATGCCATCGCTCCCGACAGAGCAGAACGCTATAGTATTATCCACATCGGCTTGCCCAGTCCATCATCCTCCTCGCCCTCAACAAGTTTCAACCCTCCAATTGCGGAGACGAACATGACCTCGTCGAAAGCGCGACTTCACTGTGCATAGCGACGGGAACTCCCTCCCTGCCCATATCCACAGTCGACGTCGAACCGCCCTGCGAGCAGCTTAGCGCCCGTGATATGTATCTGCCCATCTACGCGCTCAATCTTGCTTGACAGGCGTTTGTGCCACCAGCTCGATCGAAAACCCGCGACCCAAGCGCCTGGTCAAGGTCCTAACCGCACGCCCACTTTATCCTGATAAAGATGGGCAAAACCCAGGGGACGTCGACCACTAACGAGCCGGCAACAGGGACAGCCCCTCGTTGGATTCGGAAGTCTAAGCGAGCCTGAGCATGTCCCCCTTTGGGGGCCGTGCTCGTCCTTTCATTGTCTCATGAATACCACGGGAGTGCGTTCATAAGGACTGACACGACAGCAGCCCCCAACCCCTTCCCACAGAACGCACGCTGCCCGCACCGGCCAGCTCTTGGCCGGCAACTTCCCTGGGTCCCTGTCTGCCATGCGCCGTTGTCTTTCGAGCCTCGCTGCCAGGGCTCAGGGGGACGGGACCCAGCCTGCGTGGGAAAGGGTATGCTACAGGTAGGACAGACATCGCGGCAGGGGTTCCTTCTGCTCTACCTGAGTTGTGGAAATGCTGCAATAGCCTTTGCTTCCTTGCCCTATATCAGATGCATGAATTACATCTTCTCTCTCTGCTCAATGCTTCCAGATAGTTTCCATTTCGTTGATCTACCGGCATGACACGCATCACCGCCGGACCGTCCAGCAGCCTCGCTTAAAATCCTCAATGCTTCCCATTTCCGGTAGCGAGGCCATCAGCAGCAGTCAGAGAACAGGAGCGCGCCCCTCCCATCTCCAGATGTCTCATAATTTCCCGACCTGTGGATCGCGCCCATCTACCAGCTTTTCAGTTCGGTTGTCCGTCTCTCAGACGGAAATGCCCCAATTATCCGCCCCCCCTCGACCCTTCGACCCTTTCCACGAGGCCACACCTTCGAGACCAGCCCTGCCTGCGCGTGCGTGCGTGCCTGGGCCCCAACCCAAACCCATTTTCCTGTGGCGATCTGCCCCTAACCCGGAGAATGTACCTGATTCTCTAACCGGTCCCTTAAATCTCGTATTGTCCCAAAACCTCTGAGACGCTTCTGAACCACCCGCATCGTAGCGCCCGCAGCAGCGCCCAGAAGAAGGGGTCTGGGAACGATCAAGGGGAACCAACCGGACAATTAAAGAGCCCTCGTTTCCTTTTTCCCTCTGAGGAACCCAGTTTTTAGCGTGCCTATGATGAAGTCATACATGTCGCTAGACATCACGTGGGTAGCGAGGCGCCTTCCCTGGCTTGGGTGCATTTTTTTTGTTCATTTTTCCAATACTACACCGCCAGCACGTGGTGGTGACACTCATAGACGCAGCAGCCAGCAACATGCAGCAACGTGCAGCATCGTAGACTCCGTCGACATACAGCGCGCGGTTACGAGGGAAAAGATGCGTTATTGCCCCTCTCCATGTCCGCGCCGGCATTCCCGTTGCGGGCAATAACTTGTGCTTTTCCTTCCCTGCTGTCGGTGACATTCTCGGAATCTAGCATGATACTATCTAGTACTGTTTTCGCAGGTGGGCGATGCGCGGTTTGACGCCGGTCGTGGGCGTCCCACATACACTGGTCACCTATATACGCCGTTTGTTTACTGAGAGGTCAGCAAGGCCCAAAAAGGATCAGCCAAGCAGCCAAACAGGATCCAGCACATCAGACGGTTTCCTCGCTGAGAGTTGCATTCGAGGACAAATCAGTTGGGCAATGAATGGCCTGAAGAGGTAAATTTCGCGCAAACTCGTGATGGGCTCGGGCTTACTATACATCTTCACCACATCACTTTCAGCTTGTTCCAATTTTTCAAAAGCAAAGTGTTGCGACATCTAGCCTAGAACTGATTAGATGGGCTGGCACAAGGTTGACCGAAAGTGACTAGCTGCTTCTAATGGGGAGGACGCAACCGGTTGACTCGGTGGTCGGAGGTGTGCAACCGGCCGTGAATAGCCCGACGCGTGTGACGACTCGCTGCAACCCAGGCCCCAAACAGAATGCCTGAATGTGATCCCTCAACCCATTTCGGGCAGGGAGTACGGACCGAACAAAGAAGCTCCCGACCCGAGTCCAAGCCACTTGATGTCGACGTGCATGTGTCTACCGGCAGACCTTTGCGGTCCCCCATCCCATATTCCTTCTACCCCATGATCCCCATGATTTTTCTCTCTTGTGTTTTTCCCCGCAGGATCAAGGAACAGTCCCGCCACCAGGTAGTATGCCAACGGCTAAACGTCCCTAGCTTCACACCAACTCCTTCCCTCCTCGTCCCTGTATCCGCCAAAACCCTCAACTCAGAGAGCTGAGGGCCCGCAATACGACTTCAACCATGAGCTAAACTCCATGATTTGCGAACAACACATGTGTAACTCCACCTATCACCGCGCCGTTTGGCCGGCCGGTGGAGTGTAAGACGCTGGGCCTTGGACGAACCTGGGGAAGAGCTACCACGTCGGGCCTTCACAGCCTCGTCTATTTCCCGGCGTCACTCTCGTGAGGGTGTGCAACGCCTCTACAGACGAAGAACCTGGCAGCGACTTTCGATCCCGTCGAAAATACACGTATTCTCAATGGGAATGTACTGCTTTGTGATAATCTTGATCATCTCCTGAGCCACCATGCCACCCATGACGGCTGACGTGTTATGTAGCTCGCCACCCGTAGCCCGAGCCACTTCCTCTGCTGCCTTTTGTACCCGCTCGTTGCCTGCTGCCGCGGGAACTCGATCTTGGATCGAGGCCAGTATCTGCTCGGCAGTCGCCACGCCCTGGTGAGAAGTCGCCGTCAGCGCGAGATAGATTGGGATAAGTGTCAGTGGCATCTCCGGGCCGGCCAAAGCCGCAATTTCGTCATTGGCGAGTTGTTGTTCTGCCGAGAGCGACCCAAGAAATTAGATTAGCTTTGCCTAATGGTCTACCCCATGGGAAAGTGAGAGGGGGCCGTGAGAGGGGAGGGGCGTGTGTTGATAGATTGGGCAGAATTAAATATCACATACCGACGGCTTGCGCCAAGTCGACCGTTCTGCCTTCTGCAGGGTTCACCAACTTGATGAACCGTGCATTAGTGCAGAACAGCTCAACCTCGGCGGTGTCAATATCCTCTCCTCCGGCGATGCCGCGAACGGTGGCAAGGACCTCCTGGGCATCTTGACGGGCTTTGTCCTTGTACAAATTCTGTAGCTTGATGTAGACCTCAGACTGAGCCTTCATATCCGGCAAGCCCCCTGACACGGGCAGAACGCCGTGTCGGTTATGAAATTGTTTCACGGCCTCCGCAATGATCCAGAAGCTGGACTTCGTATTATCCTGTATGCCACATCAGCTGACTGGTACGACAAGCGAGGGAAAAATGGGCCGTTGTCTCTTACATTGCTGGACGGCTGGTAATCAAACACCTGTTTCAGTGAGCTGGGTAGCTGGGGGGGGACTACATGCTTCATGACAGCAGCCACTGCCTCCTCAAAGTTCTCCTCTGCTCCCTCTGGGATGTCTCTCCTCATAGCGTCGGATACGGCGTTCCGGAATGCCACCTTTTCGGAGTAGTTTGCCGGGTAGGCGCCATCATGACCCTGCTTCCAGAGGTCCAGATAGTATAGTAGAATGACAACGAGGGGTAAGTGGCCATGTAGATGGTTGTCAAGGTTGTCAATGTCCCGCGTCATTTCCTTGGTGAAGTCCAAGAGCGCCGGCCAGGGGCTGAGAAGCCGAAGATCAGCGGTTGCTGTATCATCGGGATGTGTGTCGACAATTGGAAAGGCCCCATGCAGGTTGACACTGAAGTAGGAATAAAATCCGGCTGAGTGAACAGCAACAAGGGGAGTTTGATGCTGACGAGAATATTCCTGGAGGATGCTGAGGCGCTCCGGCTGGATAGGCAGGGCATACAGGATCATTGTAAATGGTGTCTGAGTTGCCTCGAACAACTGCTCGAGCCTCTGGTCATCCTGCTCGGATGCATGTCAGTCCCTTTCCTGTAAAAGCAGCACGTGGTGACGAGAACAAACGACGTACTGGATTCCTGGGCCACCAGCTTCCATTGACCTCTGGATTCAGTTCCACCAGAAACTCTGTGCAACACTGCGCCCTTGACTTTCCCTTGGAGCTCTCGTCAAGAAAGAAGTTGACACCCAGGTCCTCGTCATGGACAATGGCATCATCCGCAATGGTGAAGCTTCCAATCCCTGTGTCATTGTATACGTATGTCAGCCTTGTGAAGCTTAGCTGTAAGAGGGGTAGAAATATAGGGTATATCAAACCTGGCAGGACAAGATTTTTGAGGGTTTCCACACCCACGGTTCCGGATCCAGAGTTCAGCAGAAGGATGTTTGAAGATTCGAGAGCAGCTTGGCCCGAAGCAGCCCAGAGTCTCAACTGGCGATCATACTTGCGCTCCTTCTCAGAGGGCCCTTGAAGCACAGGCGGGGTCTGAACAAGGATCTCAGTCATCTTCACTGTTGTTCGGGTACAAGAAACAGAGTGCAGGTCAATATGCGTTTGTTCATATATGCAGGCCCGGCCTTGGATATCTCGGAGACGACGAAGCAAGGCCCAGTCACGGCTTGATGCTGCTGGCGATGCGGTCTCCTTGGTGGTGAGTGGGGTCGGTAGGAGAGCTTAGGCAGCGGCAATAAGCATGATTGGAGCCTGCCTGAGGGAGCTTCAGCGGGACGGCCAGCTCATAGCACAGACCCACGACGTCTCACAAGTGAGCTCACAGCCAGCCAGCCAATTCGCCAATAGCTCTGGAATAGCCGGACGCGCTCAAATGGCAAGCGAAAGCAAGGCCACAACAGATGTTTCAACAAATCATCACCACCAACTGTCTGCTCGACCACATCATCCTCACCTTCCTCGAGAGCTTACACCCGAATCGGGTTAGTAAGCCACCTGGAGGCCACGCAGCCAATAAGGAAGCTACGAGTCAGGATGGTCACGTGTGCGCGTGTGTGCCGCTCTTGCGAGTTCCACAATTAGGCGTGGAAACCGCTCCTGTGATTGGTTATATAAGCCTAGCCGACCCCATTTCCACAAGCGAATGCGACGGACGCTCTTGATCAAAAGCGATTGCGATTTGCTGCTGACCCAATAGTCGCGAAAAACCACCAACAGACAATGGAGAGACTCCATTGATTTCTCACTGCACGCGCAGGTGAGAATCCCCTGGATGACGCTAAGCATTTCAGCCCTGCCAATATGGGAGAAATTCGTCCCAAAAGAGACCGCCATTCGAGCAGAGCATGTATTCCGCCGCCTGCCCGCCCGGACTCGCATGCTGGGGGGAGGAGACGTAATTATATGATATCTAAACAAAGGAAATCTGACACTATTCCCTCCTTCCCGTCGGTGCAACTTTGCCTTCCGTGTTGAAAAACCTTGTCAACCTTTGTGTCCTTGCCCAGTCCGTCCCTGCATCAACAGCACTAACGAATCACTCGTGAACTTACGCTGGTGAAAAGCAGTCACCCACCGCACTACGATTCACTCCTCCTAGGCCAGTATTTAACATCGCCCAAAGTCCCTTGTTATCTTCCTTTGTATTCCTCTCGTACACCTCCTTCTGCTCTTCACTGCCCTCCTGTCAATTCCTGCCAGCGACCTACTGTCACCCCGCCTCCGCATTCCAAGCTTCTTGGCGCTGTACTACTTCCCGTCGCCTAAGATCCGAGATCCACCCTCACCTTTGAGTCCGAGATCTATACAACCTTTAAAGCTAGACATCATGTTGGATCCTCCTGAAACTTCAAGCCAGTCTGTCCAAGAGGCCGAAAAGACGGCAGCCGGTGGCCGTGTGGAATCTCGTGGGATAGAAGAAGATGAATTCCGCTACGCCACGATACCTGTCAACAGGTTCTGGTTCCTCACCCTTGGGTACGTGTAATCCAATGCCTTTGCCCTAATTAACCAACCATCTATCATATCAATCTAATTATGGTCTACTAATAATCTCTTAGCGTTACCCTCGGCCTATTTCTTGCCATGGCAGACACCTCTATCGTCGCCACCAGCATGTATACGATCGGTGTAGACTTTAAATCCTCAGATCAAATCAACTGGATTGCCTTGGCCTATACCCTCGCATATATTGGCTGTGCCGTCACCTTTGCCAGAATCTCTGATATCATCGGCCGGAGAGATGCCTTCTTAGTGGCCTACGTGATCTTCTTCGGGTTCTCTTTGGCCTGTGGGTTCGCCCAGAACGTGAACCAGATGATTATATTCCGAGTCTTCCAGGGCATTGGAGGTTCCGGTCTCAATTCGTTAGCCTTGATCATGCTCCCAGAGCTTGCTCCTCCGCATCTCTTGCAGTACATTGGTGCCGTCATTGGTTTAGTCATTGCCATGTCTGGCGTGTTGGGTCCGGTCTTGGGCGGTATCCTAACACATTACGCTGATTGGAGATGGATTTTCTGGATCAAGTACGCATCTGCTTTCGAAATGTTTTGCCCTGCTTATTATTCGTATACTTACCTTTCACAGCGCGCCTATTGGGTTCGTTTCCCTTGTAATCTTCTTTCTAGCCTGGCCGAAGAAAGAGTCTCTTCCAACTTATGAAGTGCGGAAGTGGACAAGTTTCGACGTCCTCGGCTCATTCCTCACCCTTGCAGCTCCAACTCTGGTCGTTTTCTCCTTCCAACACGCCGGCGAGAAGAAGACTCCCAACTGGAGCCACGGCGATTTTCTGGCCCCTCTCATCGTCGGAATCGCCCTCTTCTTCTGCTTGGTTATCTGGGAGCGCTATCTAGGCAATCGCGCTAACAACCGCTTTGCTCTGGCTTTCCCAGTTGAGCTCTTCAAGAACCGGCACTATGCCGCTGGAGCATTCTCATCCTTGGTCCTCGGCTTCCCTTACTTTATCATCGTCTTTTCCTTCCCGCTCCGGGCTCAAATTGTCAGCGGGAAAGATGCCCTCATTGCCGGTGTAATGTTGCTGCCGATGTTGGGATCAACCGCCGTTGGCACACTGGCCGCCGGCAGGCTAAGCTCAAACACGAATCGTCTGTTCGAGACTTTGTTTGCTGGAGCATGCTTGCTAACGCTGGGCTGCGGACTTTTATCGACTGTCAAGGGATCCGGAGACGACAGCAAAGCCCTGGGCTTCCTCGTCTTTGCTGGCTTGGGTTTTGGATTTACAGCCAGTGCCTCCTCTATGCTTGCAAATGTCGAGGCCCCAGTTCGGGACTTTGGTAGGTTTTATCCTATGCCCGCAATATGTAAATGCTCTGAAGGTGGAATACTAACAGATTGACAGCGCCCGCCCAAGGCATCGTCTCCCAGCTCCGCATCCTAGGTGGCAGTCTTGGGATTTCCACGTCCACTTTGTTGCTCCAGAATGAAATTAGGGAGCGTCTAGCAGGGCTTTTGACTGCAGAGCAGCTTCAAACCCTCGGGCATGTTGGCACCCCGTTGACTGAAATTCAGCAGGATGCCCTTGAGCTGGCTTATTCAAACATGTTCCGCAACGGGATGCTGGTAGCAGCAGGTGTTGGAGGCCTAGGAATCCTGACCACACTTCCGGCTTTTAGACGCGAGCGCAAGAACTTTCAAGAGCAGCGCCAAGAGCGAGTGGTTGAAGAAAGGGAGCGGCGGACAGCCGAGAGACTTGCCTCACAGCAAGCAGCTCCCACCTCTGCCTAAGCCCAATGCATTCCACGGTGTTCTTTTTTTTGTTCTGCATATGATTAATTGGGTCTAAGCATGATAGAACTCCTTTGAAAGTAGATATAGGTCAAGCCATTGCAGGAGTTAGCCGGCAGATTTTAGCAACTTTGTATTAGGATAACGAGGTCCTGGCAAAAAGATCCCTTTGCAGTTCTCATGACCGTAAAAGTAGCCAGATCCTACCTTTTCTAGGTAACAAACGTGATGGGTGGCTGAGACCTGGCATTATTATACACCGGTCGGGCTGTCGCCGAGCTCTCGGAGTCTCTCCGCTTTCCCGGCGAGCAATTGAGTACTTTTGGTGGATCTCGGCCGATCTGGTCGGGATGCCCTTCCTCACTACAACATCGAGATAAGGTAGACACTTAAGGCACGCGGGGGTATAGGCGAGGCTGTAAGACGCCCGCCGTCCTGATCCGATACACGTCGCCGGCCATCCATTATCATCATCCATTATCATCATCCATCCTCCTCATCCAGCACCAGGTCGATCCACTGCGGTCAATTCTAAGTCCGCATTGGCTTCTGCCCGTACGCCCCTCATCACATCATCCGCTACTGCCTCAGTCTAATCACAAACCCCCATCACCGGTCCCTCATGCCGTTCCTCACCAAGTCGGCCGCGGCCCTCCGCTCCCTCCTCCGTAAAACTCCCCTTCTCCATCAGAACCTCATTCCGCCTCAAACGTTTCCCATCCCGTCCTTCTTCGCGCGCACAATGGCCACCGCCGCAGCAGCCAAGCGCCTCTCCGGCAAGACCATCCTCATCACCGGCGCCTCCTCCGGCATCGGCCGCTCGACCGCCCTCGAGTTCGCCCGCACCAGCCCCCAGAGCCTGCGTCTCATCCTCACCGCCCGCCGCGAGGACGCGCTCAGGGAGCTCCGGGACCAGATCCGGGAAGAGGTTGGCGGGGGGGTCGAGGTCTTGCCTGTCAAGCTCGATGTGTCTGATGCCGATGCTGTGAGGGGGTTCGTGGGGAACCTGCCTGAGGAGTGGAGGGATATCAATGTTCTTGTGAACAATGCGTGAGTTCTCTTTACAATTTGATTTCAATTCTTATTTATTAGGAAATTATAAGAAGAAACAAGAGGGGTGGTTCACTAACAAAATGTAGTGGTCTCGTCAGGGGTGTCGACCGAGCTCCCGAGATCAAGGAGGACGACATCAACGTCATGTTCTCGACAAACGTCACGGGCCTCATCAACATGACCCAGGCCATTCTGCCCATCTTCCTCAAGCGCCCGAATGGTGGCCAGGGCGACATCATCAACATCTCCTCTATTGCCGGTTTGTCATCTCGCTCCCTTCCCCTCCCCTTCCCCACTTACACGAAAGCGATGAAGAGAGAGGTCCATATCTCACTAACAGTACCAAAAAAGGACGTGAGCCTTATCCCGGCGGCTCCATCTACTGCGCATCCAAGGCCGCCGTCAAGAGTTTCACCGATAGCTTGCGGAAAGAGCTGATTGCGTCGCGTGTCCGTGTCATCTCCGTCGACCCTGGACAAGTTGAGACTGTAAGTTCACGCGAAACATACCGCACCATCTCTGATATACCCATGTATACACCCGGGTTTTGTACAACATCTCCCTCTAACATCATCCTCTACAGGAATTCTCCGTCGTCCGATTCTACGGTGACAAGTCCAAGGCCGATGCTGTATACGCGTAAGTATTGCCCCAATGATTAACCTCATGGCAAGAACCGAAACTAATTCTCTCGCAGCGGATGCACTCCTCTCACCCCCGATGACATCGCCGAGGTCATCGTCTTCACCGCTTCTCGC